ACAAGAAAAAAAAAAAAAAAAAAAAAAAAAAAAAAGGATTGGGAGAAAATAAAAAAAAAAAAAAAAAAAAAAAAAAAAATACCGCTTTGCACATTTTGCGTAGTTTATTTGTCATTTTTTCTTCGTCCTCCCACGAGAGATAGAGAAAAAAAAAAAAAAAAAAGGCATAACTTTTTTCCATATAAGAGTGTACCTTCCATTTTTGCTTCACTTGTACGAAGCGATCATGTGTCCCGTTAAAATTTATCCGCCCTATGCGGGAGAAAGGAAAATTGGGAACTTAAAAAGGCCCCTTTATGAGGGTTACAATTTGACACACCGTATACAGCAAAGAGTGTAAGGTCGTGTGGAGGTGCACACACGGGGGTCTGCACAACGATTGTGATGAATTGAAGGGAAACGTAAAGAAAGAGTTTTTTTTCCCCCCGCTTTTCAGAGGGTACTTGTCCTGTCACATAAGTCACGTTGGATTGCGCGGATCTGATCACCCACCGGCTTCACGCAAATAAAAATGTGAAATGGTAACTTTGCAAAATTTTAACATTAAAAAAAAAAAAAATAAAAAAAAGGGGGGCATTATCAATTCACCCCTTTTTTTCTTACACCTCTATGTCTATGATTTTATGCGAAGGCGAAGAATTTCTCTGGAAATTAGAATTGTAAATCCATGCAGTGAGCGTATAAAACGTGTTCAGTGTAGCATATAAAATGATGGAAGGAATGAAATAGTATTTGATAAGAATGAGGGGCCAGTGTGGATTTACATACGTGCCATACGAGGTATAGGGATTTTCAAATACCAGACGCTCCGTACTGTTGTTACTTATATTAGATTCATATCTTTTACATAGAGTCATGTATGCACTGTCCATCTCCTGAACCAATTTATGTACTATATTGGCACTGCAGAGGACACAAATGGTCTTCTTTACGGTGGTGTTTTCGAAGAAATTTTCTTCATTATTGAGGAGGAAACACCAGATGTTGTTCGCCATGTATTTACATTTTTCTTCCACGAGTATGTCGTAAGTCGGCTTGGAGAGATCTTTCAGTCTTTCGTTCAGCGTGTGGAGCATGTGTAGTTTTTTCCAAATTTCCCTTTCGCCCTGTTGGTCGTCATTTTGCGGCGTAGAGATACGACCCTGTTCGATCCCACCCTCTTCTGCTGACTCCGATGCGAACTTGCCACGCACCTTGTGTTCATTGTATGTATCCATGCCAAGTTCCCCTTCATGGGCACCTTCCGTGGGAGTGTCCCTGGTGCCTTCTGCTGGTGTACCAGGGCAAAGGGGGCCTTTCTGAGTTGCGCTCGACGAGTCATACTGTTTGTACAGTTTCGTAAACTCCTCAAAGGAGTAGTGCCTGAGCGATATGGATTCAACGCAGTACGTGAAGAATTTTCTGTAAGCACTTGTATCATAGAGGAGTCTAGAATCGAGTCGATTTCTAACGGTGTTCATATTTCTATCGAGGGGAAATATTTTCCACTTATTTTTTATGGAGTTTTGAATGATGGGTAAAAATTCATTTTGTAAAAAGCCATTATGTATTCTTGGCAGGTACGTAAATTTGCTATAATTATTATCGTATTTTTTTTTTTTTTCTTGGTTCGACAGGATTTCCATTATGTTGCTTAGTCTTTGTTGACACAGTTCTAGCAGAACATAATGCGGTTTTACTTTGCTCAAAAATTCCGATGCGTCCTTTCCGCTACACCTTTTTTCATTTATCTGTCCATGCAATATGCCATAAATGATGAAGTGGAAATTGGGGGTATCATATGTTACGGCGTTTTCTGGTAGGACATTGTCTGGGGAGGGGTGCTTGATTTCAGTCGAGAATTGTTTACACAGGGGCGACTTACGCGCGGGTCGTATTTCGTACGAACGTTTCGTGCGGGATGTGAGTAGGTTCTTCATGCGGGAGGGAGACCCTCGGAGGTGTGCTGCCACGAGGTGTAGCATCGTTCCGTTGGGGATGTTTTCGCGGTGTTTTTACCGCAGTTCGATGTATGGTGCGCAAATTTGGCAGCGATTGCGAAGTGGAGTAGCTTCCCTCCCCCGCACTTATAAGGGGAACGTTCAAGCGGTGTTATTTCCGACTCTCTGGAAAACCATTTCGTCTTACGCAGGAGTGTGACTCGAGTGAATGTCACTGTAGGGGAACATATGTGCAATGCTGCCTGCCGAAGTACCACCTATGGGTATTCCCTAACTGTGCCAAAAAACTGATGCGGGGACGCGATTTTCTCGTGGGGTATATAAAAGCCCATAAGGGCGGGAAGCAACCGAGCAGAGGAAAAATTGTTCACCCCGGTGTAGGAAGCACAACCCATGGGTTATGTGACCAAATGGGTGAAAAGTGGGAAGTACACCATTTTAAAAAATTACCCTTTTAAGAGAAGGCAATGATAAACACTGATAACAAAAAAAAAAAAAAAATACTTTTCATCATTTTGAACGTTGACGCGATAACAACAAATTTCGAGGCATCCGCGCGCCACCCTTCAGGTGCAAATTCGTCGAAAAAAATAGGGGCAAAAAAAAAATAGCTGAAAAGGGAAAAGTACAAACACGTGCAGAACGCGGTACATACAACGTTATATTATATGCTCATTTTGCACGCTTTTATTAACTCCCTTCTGACAAGCATAAAATTAAAAAATAGAGAAAAAAATATAGCGAGGGAAGAACATTAAATTAAGAGTTAAAAACTCCCGTTAACAAGCTCGTTCGCAATTTGCGCCACCTTTTATTTTTTTCCCATTGTCTCTTTAATTTTTAAAAGCGACAACTGAGAAAAGATATTGAAGCGAATGCGGGAAATTTTTCCTAACGTGAGAGGTCTAGGTCAAGGCATCAATAAAACGACTTAACAAAAAAAAATAGAAGTACGTAATAAGGCCATTGCGCAGGTAGTCACTGCGAGAAGGAACCCAAGAAAGCTTTTTACCCCCACCCCCGGTGGATCGATTATCTAATAATATATAAAGCAGAATCGTTGTCACCAAATAGAGAACAATCCAGGTGCGCGAAATATTTGTAATATGCAAAAATAGGGGGTCAGGAAGGAAGACGCTGTAATGAGCAGCCCCGCTTAGCAACAAAATTGTTTGCTACGTGCGAGAGTTCCTCTTGCGGAAGTACGAGAACAAGTGAGACAAGGAGCTGTGAAGGAGTTTTATGGAACGTAGTACTTATATTTGGTGAGGAAAACTTCGCAGCGTGTATCATTATTGTGCTCGTGGTTGTCCTTCCAAACGTACGTAAGAACGTACAGAGCTAGGGACATTCCTATGGACACGGAAATATACGTGTAATGAAAAAGGCTGCTTACGGAGAGCATAAAATATTGCCACCAAAGCAGTAGAACAAAAATCTACGAGCAAGTTAAAACGCAAGAAGCGAAGCGCTTATTTTGCATAGAGGGGGACGCAAAGAAGGTAGAGAAAAAAAAAAAAACATCAGGGGGAAGAATATCATCCATATGGACGAGCAGACTGAAGGGATGGATGTTGAGACGCATTCTGCAAATGAGAAAGTGATGGAGGGCGAAGAACAAGATGTGGGAGTCGAACATGAGGACGTGGAAAGTGATGATAGGGATGTAGGAAGCGAACATGAAGAAACCCCCAATAGGGACAGCCCGAAGGAGCAGGACAGCAGCAGCGTCATCGACCGGAACACGCTGTGGAGTGACCTGTACATCTCGAGGCCGTTCCTGAAGGTGCTCTACGAGGGCAAGTTCAACAATCCCACGTTTATCCAACGGGATGTGATACCTCTAGCCCTGGAGGGGAAAAGCATTTTAGCTAACTCAGAAACGGGTTCAGGAAAAACGCTGGCGTTCGTGTTGCCCATATTAGAAAGACTGTTACACAGTCCCAACATAAAAGTGAGAAGTTATAATCCGAGGAGCATCTGCGTAACAAAAAGTTTAATACTTTTACCAACGAGGGAACTAGCCCTTCAGTGTTACGACGTTGTGAAGAGTATGACAAAATATGTGTCCATTACATATTCACTTTTCTGTGGAGGAATAGACGTAAAGCAACAGGAGCATGAGTACAAAAAGAAGAAAGACATTTTCATTTGTACTCCAGGAAGGATTTTAGATTTGTTGTTGAACTCCTCCAGTGATTTTATAAACTACTTAGAAGTGGTAGTCTTTGATGAAGCGGACAAATTGTTGGAGTTGGGATTTAAGGAGGAATGCTTAAAAGTGTTAGATGTGTGTAAATTTAAGAAGCAGATTTTATTTTTTTCAGCTACTTTAACTAGGGATATCAAGGAGCTAGCTAATTTTTCTCTTAAGAACCCAATTTTTATACAAAGCGGAGTGGATAATAGAAAAGTAGATGCAAAGGGGGATGTTGTGCCCAGTTGCATTAGCAATAAAAAAATCTTAAAATCATTTAAAATTTCAGAAAAATTAAATCAAGAATTTGTGAATATTGTAAATGAAAAGTATAGAAGAGCAGCCCTACTGCATCTGTGCAGTAATGTGTATAAGAATCATGCGATCATTTTTTTTAAGACAAAAAAAGAGACACATCTAATGTATTTAATTTTTTCCTTGTTCAATTTCAAATGTGCAGAGTTACATGGTTCACTTACTCAAAAGAAGAGAATAGAATCCATTTTGAAATTTAAGAAAAATGAAGTGGACTTTTTATTATGTACGGAATTAGCATCTAGAGGATTGGATATTGATCATATTTTGTATGTGATTAATTATAACTTACCATCGAACGTTATTAAGTACGTGCATAGGATTGGAAGAACAGCAAGGATAGGGAAGGACGGTACGGCGAGTACTCTGTATAGACCTAATGAAAAAACGGATGTGAAGAAAATAATTAAAGGATTGAAAAAAAGCAAAAATGCTAAAATATTTCGTAGGAACATATCCAATGATAGCATTGTGCACTGGGATGATTTATTGAGGAAGAAAAAAAAACAAATTAAGGAAATGATAAAGGAGGAAAAGGAAAACAAGGAAATTGATAAAGCCACCAAGTCTATTGAGAAAATTAAAAACATCATTCAGTTTAAGGACGAAATTATGAGTAGGCCACCCAGGGAGTGGTTCATGACGAACAAGGAAAAATTGCACCTAAGGAAGTTAAACATGAAGAGTGACATGTCGTGTGCTGACTCCACGGGTGTGAGTCGAGATGGTGAAGATCATGCTCGAGGTGACAGCGCCCGTAAAAAGGACTCTGATAAGCAGAGCAGCCGCAAGGCCAAAAAGAAAAAACAAAAGAGTGATGAACAGGAGGATAGAAACAAACTCAAAAGTTTTCGTTCCATTATAAAAGAACTGAAGCTGAACGTGTTGGTGAACGGAAAGGGGAAAATGGACAAGTCGAAAAATGCCACAGGGGTTAGGAAGAACTGGCAAAAGAATAACGATGGCGCAGGTGCACGAGGTGGTGATGGCGGTAAAGGTATTAATGGATACAATGGAGCTAAGAAACCGGACAACCGCCCCCGCAAGGCAGTTCAAAAAAAGGGAAAGAAGTTAAAGTGATATAATGATCAGGATTAAAATTGAACCCGTTGGGGTAGTGGCGGTGACGTAACAAATAGCGCGATTATTAGAAGAAGCCTCGTTTGTATAATTTGCAAAGGGGAGGTAAGAAGCATTACGTGCCTTTTTAAGATAGCTCACTGGAGTTGTTAAAGGCGCCATGTCGCATTACAACGTTGTGCGAATTGGACGAATTGCTCTGTTTGGGCCCGACCCCACCCCCTGTGGGCTGAAGAAATAATGACACATTAGTAGTTATAAAAACACTATAGACAGAAGCATATTTTGAATGTTTTTTTATGCATTTTGTGTATACATTGGAAGAAAGCCCATTTGTGAGTAAAATATCAGTGTCTCCTTACCCCCCCCCCGAGTTATTTCATGTAATAGTTGTTCTTCTTCAATAACGAAGAGCATTCATTACATATGTTTCCTTTTTCCACCTGTAATAACTAGCAGGAGGTCTTTTTCATAATGTAATTAAATAGAAGAATTTTTTTTTTTTTTTTTTTTTTTTTGTTTGTTAAACTGCTGCGCTATAAGTGCATATAAAACAATTTTGACATAAACTACTTTTGGAAAGAATTGAAAAAAAGGGATGAAATGATATCCACATAAATGGCACTTTTTCTCATTCCGCTTTTAATTTCCACTTAAGGAAAGGCGACGTAGACATCACATTTAAAATGAACTGTGTCCACCCGTCCAAACAAAAAAAAAAAAAAAAAAAAAAGAAAACGATTTTGTGCCTTAACAATCCATATCAGCAGCTGGCAATTGTACACTTTATGTATTATGTGTATAAATGCTTAATGATCAATTTGTTCAGTAGTTATGTGCTAAGATAAGATGCGTCTTTTTCGTTCCTCCATGTTAAATAACATCATACGGCAGGAAGAAGGGCAACATTAATTATTTATCTCCATTAGGTGCAGGGAAAAGAATCATCATTTCTGTTTGTACTTTTTTTTAGTTACACCAACAGGGTCATTTTTTTTTTTTTTTTGTTTTTCTTTCCATGGCCATAATACATCCAAATGGACTGGTTCCCTTTTTTCATTTTTCCAAGTTGTAATAATGTCCAGATTTTTTTTTTACCAATTTGCTGCCTTGCAATTTTTAAAAGGAGTTTTTTTTTTTTTTTTTGCATTTGCATCGAGTTATGCATGCCGTCTTTTCCCTGCCCCCAATTTTTGTGGTTTTCCGGGGGCGGGTGGAAAAAAAAGAACAGGCACATAATTATTCAGTGGTTTTCTTTGCATTGATGGAATTACAGCTTAATGAAACGGTATGGTTCCAATGAACGCGTCCAAACAGGAAATGCATATACGATAATAATTCCCAGGTAAGGGCAGAAGGGACTAATGCATAGGCGCCAAATGTACAAAAAGGGAACACAAAGGTTGGTGAAAAAGGGAAAAAAAATTAAAAGGAAAAATATTGTCATTTGTATGTTTTTCCCGTGTTGTAAAAAAATATAAGAGAATATTTCCTTTTTTTTTTCCGGTGTTTTGGAGTCCTCATAGTAACGTCATGTAAGGGGGTATACAAAATTGACCTTGTAGGTATCGGAAAAAAAAAAAAAAAAAAAAAAAAAAAAAAA